TCGCCTCGGGGGCGCCCTGCGGGGCGCGCAGAGAAGTGAGGAGACCCGGGCTCCTCTAGAGCTGGTCTGTCGCTTTCCTGGTTGGCCCGCAGTCCAGCCCCGTCCCGGGGTCTCCCGCACTTCGTTTCTCCCCGGGCACGCTGCCCTTTTGTCTTTTCTCCCCCACTCCGCGCCTTTCAAATAGTTTTAAAATTAGTTACATCCGTGAGGCAGGGGCTCTGCGACCCAAGCGCCTGGAGCTTTTGCTCCTGCTTGTGTGTCGCCAGGGCTTTCTTCGCCGCCTGGTGCCCCACCGAGCCCTCAGCCAGGACTGCCCCTGGAAATGCTACAGCCCAGCGTCCCTCCGCGCTGATGGAGTAGGACAAAGCCCAGAGCCTGGAGGATGGACGGACACCGACGAGACCCCAGCGTGGGACTCCTGGTCCCCACGCACACGCTTTTCCTGGAGCTTGGGGACAGTGGGGGCTAGAACTCACGACTTGGCAATCCAAACCCTCGCCGCCCCCCCTCCCATCTCTAAGTTTCAAAACCACAGCGACAGACACTGTAAAATAACAACTGAGCGCTTACTCTGTGGCAGGCGCCTGCATGTGTCATTAGGGTTAACCTTCACAAGTGGCCCATGAAGTAGGGACGGCATATCCCCCAGTGGTTAGATGGGAGAGTTTAGCTCCGGAGAGGTTGAGTGCCCGGAAACCACTGGTTAGTTGGGGCTGGTGGGTTTTGAAGCAGGACAGGCCCAGCCGGTGCTTTAAACCCCCTATCCTGTGCTGCATTTCGTCCTTTTTTCTGTGAGAGGGAGGAAGGGGCCGCTTCCTTACTCTCCTAGGAAGTGAGAAAAGTGGCTTCGTGGTGGAGGGGGTGGGACCGGACCAAGCGTTTCTGAGAGTTAGGAGCCGCCGGGGCTTTAATCTCCGTGCCTCCTGCTGGGACCTCATTTACTCCCTTCTCAGCTCTAGGAAGTCTTTTAATCCTGGTTCAGGAAGGGCTGGTGGGGGCGGTGGTGTTTCCTTTAGGGACCTCAGAGCCCGGCTCTGCAGCTTCCAGTCTCTGGGGGCAAGAGGGAGAGGGGACTCTGGCATCCCCTGGGATATCTAGTGGCTTGGGGGTGTAGCTGAGGCTGTGTGAGGTCCGAGTTCCAACTCAGGGAGGAGAGAGCCCTTTTGTCTGTGCAAAGAGGGCGTGTGTGTGTGTGTGTGT